TGTCTAGGTTATATGTATTGGTAGTTCCTTTTTATCACTGATTTGTATTTCTTACTGATTTTTAAAGAAAATTTTTATCTCTTAGATTGCAAGATTTTCAGATGAAATGATTTGCTTTTAAATACTCTGGATGCAGGGGATTATAAATAAACCATGATTTCTGTATTAGTAATTGTTGAAATTAGTTAAGTATGTAGGTTTCAGTATACTATTTCTTTACATTTGGGTGTTTGAGATTTTGTATTAAAAAAGGGATAAATACAGCAATATGAGGTCCTAATTTGTTGAGAGGGGGCTGGCCACAAGAACTAAAACTAGAACCAGGAATAGTGAACGCCATGGATAGAGAATTGTGTGTTTCATCATTCCAAGCTTGCCTATACAATTTGATTGGTTACTGTGTACCTGAAATATTTTTATTTTATTTATTTTTTTTAAGATGGTATCTTTCTGTGTTACCCATGCTGGCCTCCATCTCCAGGGCTCAAGTAACCCACCTGTCTCAACATCCCAAGTACTAGGACTACAGCCATGCCTAGCTATTTTAAAATAATTTTTAAAAAAATAGTCTCTGAAAATTATTTTGTCTTAATTATGCAAATAAAGCAATAAAATACTTCTGTTTCATGACCTCCTTCACTATATGAGAAGAATCTGATTTTGGGGAAAATTGGACTGCTTTGGGGGCAATACCTCCAGTTATCTTTTGTCTGCCCCCAGTAACCAACCTGTTTCTGGATCATGTGGCTTCCTAAGAATTCCATTCTGATGTGGCTTCTTTCATTGATTACATTATGAGTAAAGCAGGGTAAATTGAAATTTTGATCAATTTCTAGCCTTCGCTGATGAAGTCTTTTCATTGGTAAGATCAGCATTGCTGGATGTATTTTCAGGACAGACTTGAGATGCTTTGGTTATTATTTTTTGGTGGTGTGTGTACTATTATTATTAGTTCATGACCATATAAACAAATTTAGTCTTTCAGTCACATTTAGCAAATTGGTAAGCTTGAGGGTACTTCGTTTTTCTATGATATTTCATTGATTCATTTGTATTTGAGTACCTACTACATGCAAGACACTGTTGTAGCGTTTGACCAATCTAACATAAAAAAAGATTCCCAAAATTATGCTAGGTTATTTTTTTTTCCTTCTGCAGTGCTGGCAATTATACCTAGGTCGTTGCACATACTAGGCAAATTCTCGATCACTGAGCCACATCTCCAGACTGGATTCTTTTTTCTTACTATAAATGAGAAACTCTTCTGGAGTTTATAACCTGGTGACATTGACCATAGTGTATTAACCTACCATGTAGGGCCAATGCCCCCCTATAAAACATAGCATACTTTGATACTAAAAAGTATGTGAGGTAGTGGATAAGATGATTAGTTTGATTTAGCCATTCCACATGTATACTATGTACACCATAAATATGTATAATTTGTCAATAAAAAATGGTTTTTTGGTACTGGGGATTGAACCCAGGGGGGCTCAACCACTGAGCCACATCCCTAGCCCTTTTTTATTTTTTTATGTTGAAACAGGGTCTCACTAAGTTGTTCAGAATCTCACTAATTACTGAGGCTGGCTTTGAACTTGTGGTCCTCCTGCCTCAGCATCCTGAGCCGCTGAGGTTGCAGTCATGCACCACCACACCTGGTAGTCAAAATGTGTTTTAAAGTATTTTTCCCCATATCAATTTTCAAAGTAGCGGGAAGGAATTGGAAGAAGAAGAATAGCTAACATAACCCTTTGTACAGGCCAAGCCCCCTGTTAACCATTTCAGCTGCAGACTCATGTAACACTTGCTACAACTTAGTATGGTGTGTGCTGATGTGATTCCCATTCTGCACAGGAGGAGGAGCAGGTGCAGAGTTGAGTTTTCTTGCCGAAGATCATAAAACAGTTAAGTTGCAGAATCAGAATTTGAACCCAGTCTATCTCACACCAGAGGCCAATTGTCTCTTGTAGCTGCTCCTCAGTGAGTCTCACGTTGAGATATTTCTTTTCTCATGGCTTCCACACCCATTACTAAGGCAGCATTTCCCCAGTTCAATGGAATGTCAACAGTTATTTCATGCAAAATATATGTATTGATAAAATATGGAACTCAGCATTTTCCATATGTGTATAAAGATTATTTATATTGAGAACTCAGTTTTATATTAAGTGTGTACAATATATCAACCAGAGTAACATTCTTGTAGAGTTCTAAAATTATTTTTCCATGGAATGTTGTGTTTTATTATTTTTACGAAATGTCTCAAGGAACACACAGTTCCATGCCATTTCAGTACTCTTGAGTCTTCATCCACTTGTTCATACTCTTAATGTCACCTAAATCATATATGCTGTCACCCAAATGAGCTTTTTTCACTATAACCCAAAGTACCATGCAGGGAGCCTTCCTTGCTTTGATTCATCTCTTGTGAAGACTCTTTGCTGTGTTGGCTTCTGCTGTTTCTATGCCCTGGCTATGTACTGTATGTGCAGCCCCAGATCTGCTGTGCCACCTCACTTTGAGTCCCTGTTTATGCCATATCTCAGTTGCGGAGAGGACACTCAGAATTGGATGTAATTCTGCCGTCCAGAAATTTAAGTGGTGTGTTTAATTTTTCTGAAACAACATGCTTAAAAAATCAGTTCTTGCCAAATCTTTTCCCCCATCTTCTACTTATGTTCATTAGAATCTAACTCTCTCTGACTTTTTTTTTTTTTTTTTTTTTTTTTTCCCTGGGTTTAAACCCCGTGGTTTTCGACTTTTTTTTTTTTTGTTTTTTTTTTTTTTATTATAAAAAAACCCCCTCTTTTTTTTTTTTTTTTTTTTTTTTTTTTTGCCCTGGAGATTAAACCCAGGGTCTTGGCCTCATGTCTGCTAGGCAGTTGCTTTATCATCAAGCTAAAACCCCAGCCTCTCCAATTTCTTCATTTTTATCTTGATTAATTTGTTTATTGAGTCAGTTCATTTATCTTTGTGTGATCTTCAGATTCTATGTACATATGTATTGTTTCTTCTCCCAGCTAAGTCCCATAGCATTTCAATAAATAGTCTCATGCTAGTTAATCTTATCCCATTAAGTCCCAAGTTTTCAAATCTGTGACTATTATATTGAAATTTACACAAGTGCATTAAAATAGGTTGGTAATAAAATATACTAAATAAAATAGTTATATATTAAGTATATAATTATTATAGTATTAACAAATATATTAATACCATAATTATATCCTTACAATAAATGTGTTTTATAATTATATATTTAAGTTTTTATAGGTGTTGTGCTTCTGGGACAATGGGTTAAGTCATCAAGACTCCATCCTAGTTATAAATATCTCATGTCTTAGGTCTGTCCAACTCTGTGTCATCTAATCTCTTTTTTTCACTTATCCAGTACTTATTTTGGCAAATGCTTTGTAGAAATAGAGAAAGTTACGGTACAATCTGTTGAGTGCTGCATCATATTATATCTGACTTTGCCTAAGTTACCTTACTGCCTACTCATGACTTATGCCTAAAATTTTAAATGGAATAACTGATCATGATAAGTTTTTCTGTAAAAATTATCTTTAAAAAAAAAATCACTGTAGGCCCCAGTCACTGAGCCGCCAGCAACAACTCTGCAGCCTCCCCTTTGAGTCCCTTCACCTGCCTTCTCCTGTGTAGCCGCCTTCCACAGACCACTGCCTCCGAGGGAAAGGGAATTGCACCCTGTCTGCTATCCAGAGCCTCTACTCTTTGTACCCTTTTGCTGATGCAAGAAGGGTGATGACTGGCTTCCTGCTGGCACTGAGGATTATATTCATATGAGTTCACCAGAGAAATGGCAAGAAGACCCTGCTAAAAGCAAACTAGTGAAGGTGTTTGAGAAAAAAAAAATTTGCCTGCAATGGTACTGCACTTGAGCATCCAGAATATGGAGACATAATTTAGCTGCAGGGCGACCAGCACAAGAACATGTGCCTGTTCCTGGCAGAGACTGGACTAAGGATGATCAGTTCATGGACTTTTAAGTGCTGTGGCTCACTGAAGCTTAAGTGAGGATTTTCTTACAATGAGTAGAATTGTCCTTCTGTCCCTTGTCACCAGTTTGAAAACCTCACAGCTTGTATAATGTAACCATTTGGGGGCTACTTTTAACTTGAACTAGTGTAACTTCTTCATGCAATAAACTGAAAAGAGCCATACTATCTAGTCTTGAAGTCCCTCATTTATATCAGTCAAGCAGTAGGCACCTGGTAGTGTCCAGCCTGAAACAAAACAATGTGATCGTTCAGCAAAGCCCAGAGCCCCAGGATCATGTATGGCTATGTCTGGCCAGAATTTCCTCTGCTCTCCCTTAGTAGATACTCTAAGAGTATCAGGACCTTAACAACCCTGGTGAATCAGAAGGGGATGGGGTAAGCAGCAACATCTCTTTGCCACTAGAGGGAGCCTTTGTTAATAGAGGTGCTGGTGTCCCAAACCTGCCCAAGTGGGCAGAACTTGAGGCCACCTTCCCTCCAGTGAGGTAATAAAACATCCATCAGGGTTGCCGCCAAGATCTTTCTAACCAGACATATTCTAACTAAGGGATGTCCAAAACAATGGAATGTGAGGCCAGCCTAAGAGCAGTTAAACTTTTGACAAGGGGTCAAATACCTAGTTGGCCTTGGAGCTTGCAGCCTATTAGCAATGGCTGCTTAGTGCCACATGAAGTGATACACTGGTTTTTGATTTTCATTTTCCCTTCCAGTTTTAATGTTATGAAATGTATTTAAACCCTTGTTTAAATAAAACCTGTTTTCTTGGGTCAGGGGGAATCACTGTAGGGCTGTGGGTGTATAGTTCAGTGGTAGAGCACTTTCTTAGCATGAATGAGGCTTTGAATTCAATCCCAGCACTGGGGGGAGGGGGGCAGAAATCTGTGAATGATAATTAGAGATGTTTTAGAAGTTAGAAGATCAAAATTGTGCATTGTGCTACATCTTTCTCATAGTATTTTTAACATATCTTCTTAGGTTTCACAAAGTTGCACAGAGAAAAAGGGGAAGTGGATGAAAAGAGTTCAGAAGTCTTTATATGGGGAAAGAGAAATGGCTTCCAAAAAGCCCCTCCTAAGTCCTGTTCCTGAGCTGCCTGAGGTCTGCGAGATGACACCTTTGGTTCCAGGCGTCCGGAGGATGTGTTCAGGTATCCCTGCTTTATCCTCTTAGTTCTGTATATGTCATCTCTTTACCCTCTTTGTTCTATTTCATCCTTTCTTCCCTATTTCCCATTCAATAAACAGTGCGTAAATAAAAGTAGCATTATTTCCCCATTACAGTGAGAATTTTAAGAAAAGGAAGCTGTAGTTTATAACTTTTTGAGATGGCTTGGGCTAGTGTCCGAATCTGATGGGAGCTCTGTGTCCTATCTGTAAATTCCAGCCAGACTTGCATATAATTTCAGGGGAAATAATTTCTATTTTTTCATCATTTTGCTTATTAATGCATTTTGTTAAAATAAATTCTATTGGTTGTGCAGTCCATCCCTTAAGCTCATGGCTCAGTAAAAGTTATATGAGTTGAAGCAAAAACTTAAAAAAATCAAAAACAAAAACAAAACAAAACAAAACAAAATCTTGCCTCATGAAGTTTCATTAGAATTGGTGCTATTAAGCATCTTCTAGAAATATTTTTTATAAACAGAGCTTGAGCCCCTTGAAGGTTTTTGTTTATAAGTGAAGATCAAATCAATTAATATCCTAGTTAAATTAAAAAATGGGTAGACATTACATCTGATTTTTAATGTTTAAGTTTTAAATCCTGGCTAAATCATGCTGAAGATGACATGTGTCCATTTGATGTGTTTTTTTTTTTTTTTGTTTAATAGAATCATTTTTAAAATAGCTGCCTTTGCCAATCATCCTGTTTACAGCCTGCCTCCTATTTGCGGTATGCTGTAGAGGATTTACAATTCCTAGGATTTGAGAATGAAGCAAGCATGTGGACTCTTAGTTTCTACATGCTTCTCAGCCTGAGGATAGAGCAAGAATTTAAATGAACGACCAACCTGTCACTTGTGCCTCTCCCTGCCTTTTCATGTGGGACACCTTGTTACAGGAAGTCTGTCACCCATCTCTTTCTTAATGTGGCCTAATGCTACTTATGTTCTAAGAAATCATCATGCTGTCTGCATTTTGAGGAAAATTCTTTGAATACTTGAAGCGTTTTTTAACCAATAGTGTTACCCACTCAAAGTTCAAGACAACTTCAAGCATTCAAGACAACTTCCTCCCTCCCTCCCTCCCTTCTTTTCTTTCTTCTTTCTTTCCTTCCTCTCTATCCTTTCCATCTGTCTTTCACGTTCCCTCCACCTCTTTTCCTTCCTCCCTGTCTCCTACCTTCTTTTCTAGTATGCTGAATTTTATGAAAAATACAAAAATACCGATTATTTTAAAGCTGTAAAAGCCCAAGTGACATATTCACTGATTGGCATTGAGTGGACCTTGACCTATGTGAATCTCTTAACTTTACATGACAGGATTTTAAATACCCTAGTCATGGATATATTTTCAGATTGAAACATTGTTTTTTAGATTTATATATCTTCAATTTTTATTTTGTTTAAAATTTTTTATACTCATTTGACTAGCCAATTGAAAACACTGTTTTCTGAGATTACAGTATAAATAGTACTGAGATTTAGAACAGAGCTTAGCCTGAGTTCATTAGGATAAGTTACTTACCTCATACTTGATGATGACATTTTTTACCTGTAAAGTGTCTGAAACTCGTGAAAGGCTGCGTGCAGCACACGTTGGTGGAGGATGCAGTTGAGTCAAAGGTTGAGGAATAAAGGGTAGATGTAAAGCATGGTTCTGAAAGTACAGGGCACTTTGTATAATTTTTTATCAGAGAATATGAGAGCTATGTGCCCTTTTAGTTACTGAGTCCTCAAATCCCCAAGATTTTTCCAAATTCATCTCTTTCATTGTAAATTTGTCCCTAGCATCATGAAATACAGGGACGTAGATAGAATAAGTTTTAGAAGCGTAATGTTGCCCATTTTTAGTAATTTATTTTCAGGGAGATGGGAAATATGGTAGCCTCATGCTAATGGACCTTGTAGTGTGGGAAGTGTGTTAGAATAGAGGAAGCAATTTAAGGTACCACTCATTTTCATAGTCAGAGGTTGTGTGCTTTGTTAATTCATGCGTTGAATAGCTGTTTTCTTAACCTGAGGACTGGGGAACAGCTAAGAAAGGAGGAGGAGAATGACAAATGGGGACAAGTGTAGTGTAGCATTTGTAGGTTTTATAATTTTTGAAAACTTAAACGTCATGTTAATAGGACACAGTCATTCAATAAAGCACCTGTTTAATAAACTTGAGTTTCCACTGTTACTTTTTAATTAGATTTAAACATATTTATGTGCCCCTAGATGGTTGCAACTCAAATGGTAAACTGGAAGAAGAGACACCTCCTAAAATTCGAGTTAAAAAAAACATTCTTTGGCCTCAGAACCCCAAAGATCTGCACGTGCAGCAAGGCCTTGGTGAATCTGATGTGTATGGACTCTGCCGCTCTTACATAAAAACCTCCACGTTGCCTGGCAGTGTTACTTCTGAGGAAGACCCCAATACAAATACCATGGACACCAAAGACAACGGGAACATTCCAAAAGCAGAAAATACGTTGGAAAGTGAAAATGAATCAAAAACTGAGACTAAGACCGAGACCGAGGACAGTCAAGCTTCTTGTGCTTCTGTGATGGGAGAACACATTGTGTCAGATCACCCGAAACCTGATTTTATCCTTCAGTGCCAGGAATCTGCTGCTGCTGGTCAGAATGCAGAAAAGCTCTGTCAAACCTTGAAAATTTCAGAAGATATTAGGTATGAGAAACAAGAAGACTTAGTAGTTGCTGCCGAGGGGAAACTGCAGGGCAGCCCTTTCATGTGTGAGTCACACAAAGAATTTAATTGTTTAGAAGATGTTCTAATTGGAAATATAAAAGAAGCTAAGTGCAACAGTGATAATGTGGGAAGAAAATCCCCAGAAAATAGCATTATGAGTTGCAGAGAAAAGAAACATAGAAGACGCTCAATGTGTTATTCTGATGGTCAGAATCTACATTTGGAACAAAACGGGAATCACGAACCTTCCTACAGTGTGGGAAGCTCTTTAGAAATTAGTTTAGAACAAATCTTTCAGAGAGAAAATGGTAAAACCAAAGTGCGACGAAGCTCAAGGTTCCAAAAAAATTCGGAAAGTGAAGGGCTTATGTGGGTATCACCTCCATGTCCTCCCACTTCCCAAAAATCAAGGAGGAGAACAATAAGTACTTTTGACTGCAGAAGCCTGGGAAATATGTCCCCCATAAAAGAAGCTCTGTCTTCCAGACAAAACCCCCATGTGGTGGTCGCTGCCTCAGGTGAAGAGAGCAGCCAGGATCTGGCTGCTGAGTGTTCGCGCCTACCTGAGCAGAGGAGGAGGAGGAGGAGCTTCTGTGCACCCACACTCTCCAGCAAGGCACAGTGTCACTCAGCCCAACCTCTGCAGGAGAAGAGCCTTTCCCAAGAGGGGAGGAAGCCCCTAGCCCACCTCCCAAGGGGTGGAGACAGGCAAAGTAAAATAGGATGCAGCCCTTCCCCAGCAGCATCTGCAGTAAATGAGGTAGTTGTCCCTGCTCAGGAGCATCTTCTCTTTCAGTTCCATCCTTTGTTCAGCTTCAGTGCCTCAAAAGTTTCAGATCAATAAAATCACTTGATCTGAACTGACTTTTAAGTAGAAATAAGTGCATTTCTGCATCATTCAAAAAAAAAAAAAAAAATTCTGTTAAGTATGTTCTCCTCCAAAATGGTAAATGCTGTTATTAGTATTTTGTTAAAAGGATTGTTTTTAGACCCAACAGTATGTCTCTGAATCTTTATTTTATGAGAGTACTTACTTACCACTGAAGGTGTAGACTCTGTTGTCAAAAGCAACCTTTAGGGTTGATCCTTATATCACAGTTTATTTTTTGCAAAAGACAAATGTATAGAAATGTGGAACTTTATGAAGATGGAAGTAATACAAGCTTGAAGGCTTAATGTGGGGTGATAAGTGTTTTATGATATGACAAAAAAGTGCTTAAATATTTTAACAATTAGGAAAATGGAAATTATGAAGCTTGTTTTCTCTTTGGGTTCAATTTAAGAGAAGCTTTGAAGACTTGCCTTATCTGTTTCAAATGAAATTTTTACTTTAATAGTTAAAATCAAATTCTAAATGTGAATTTTTAGAAATTTTCAATAGCCAGAATTTTATAAATCCATCTTTATAAATGAATATATAATTTAAAAATAACATCAATATGAAAGCATTCTTTTCTTCAAACAAGATTGCTCTTTTAAAGCCTGGATTCCCAAATGATTTGAATAAGTCACAGGTAGTTTGGCATTTAATTCATGATTTGTGGTAAAAAAAATTTTTGAAAGGTAGAAACTTACTAGAAAAGTAGTTTACTAACATAATACATGGTGGTAGGTCACTGGTTTGTATTGGCACAGCATTTTCCAGCAGTTCATAATTTCCGGTACTATCACTTGTCTCAGCTTCTTTAGGTACCTTTTATAATATTTCCTGCCGGCTGTTTTGGTGACAGCAGTTTGAAAATCTAAATTACTATATATCTGGAATTTGTGAATGCACATAAATCATTGTATCATTGAACAATTGTCTCTGAAATCCTTTAAATCATTAAGCTCTCCCTTGCCATAATAGCAGAAACATGTTAACAAATAGGGCTCCCTATAAATAACACAACAGGGAAGAAAGCTCCTGCTGAGCAGCCCATTTCCCCCTTGTAGATGGAGACTATTTGTTACCTCCTTGGCACCGGCAGGTCTGGAACTCCTGCTGCTAAAGACGAATGTATTTTACATTAACACTCAAGTGATCCCCAATTTCTTCTGCTCAAGGGTGGATTGTTTAAAAATTTCTTTTATCTTTACATGTAAATTATTTATGGACCTTTTCCTTTCCCATTTATGATTTGATGTGATTACCAAATCAGTTCCCTTGAAAACAACCAAAAAAGAAAGAACAACAAAAACTAATTAACTTCATATGAAGCTTTTTGATTTTGGTAATTAAAAAAAAATGAAAAAATAATAAACCTTTCAGACACCTAAATATTAGAGTACTTTGAGTTTCAAAAACAACTTTTGTATTTCCCCTTGTTCAATACGAAGGCGAAAAGCTAATGATTGTTACTTGCCACTAGTTCTAATTTATTATGCCGACTCAACCATATTTGAATTTTTAAAAATTCACATTTAAAAAAAAATTCTCAAAAAGTGCTAATGAGGTTGGATAAAGTATTTTGATCTGTGATTTTGGCTTGGGTTTTTCTAAAGTAAACTTGTTCTCACTTTCTAACTCCTACAGCTAAAAATATAGATGCATTTTTACAAGTTCTGTTGGTTTTAAAATGTTTCATTGATAAATATTTTGATATTTATGAATAGTTTATCTACCTAAAGTCTCTGTATCAGATTTGTAAAAAATTAATTTCTTTATTTCATCAAGGCTTCTTTTTTTTTTTTTTTCTTTTCTTTAGTGGTGAAATCAAAAAGTTGACTTCAAAATGTTTTTCCTTGCCTTGCGTTTTTTTTGCTGCAGGAACTCACCCTGCATGTTTGATCCTTTAGCTCCTCTGCCTCTGTTCCTGCAGATTCTTAAGTGTTCCAGGAGATGGCAGCATGGTATCTGAAGTCCCCCCCTACCTTCTGAAACCTACAAGCCGGGGCAACTCCTATTTGCTGTTGCCGGTGCCTCCCCTTATTTTTTAATCGCAGAAATAATAGGTGTCTATTGAACAAGGCAGAGAACTGTACAAAGCTTTGAAGTAGAAGTATTGACAACTGTCTTCCTTTCCCTCCACCCCGACAGACGTCAGTGTAGCTTCACCTTCCTGTTGAAGCTCTCTGTGTGCAAACACTGACAGCTGCCAGGGGTCTTCCAGAACTTTCTTCCATGCACAGGGAGTACGATTTTGTTGTTTGCTAACCAGGATCATGATGTGCCATTCTGCAACTCGACTTTTGTTGGTCAACAAAATACCATGAGAGTCCTTCAGTCTTGCTGTGAGCAGTCCTAGACCTTTTCAATTAAGCCTTGCATAGAATTGCATATTTTTGCTATCTGTAATTCAGGTAGCCATCTCCTTAGTAATGGATGGGAACTGTCTCCAGCTTTTGCCACTGAAAATGTGGCACATGGGGCTTGTGGAAATGTAAAAGAAATTCCTCAAAATTAAAGTAAAATGGTTAATTGACTTCTCTTCTGGATCTTAACTGGCAAGCTGCCCCTTACGTTTTCGCATCCTTGCCTTCTTTCTCTCGTTTTCTTCTGCCACTTACAGCCACTCTGCCTCTGTTTTCTCTCACTGCCCCACTTTCAACTGGGGTGCCAGAATTGAGAGGAAGGCTTAGAACTACTGTAATTAGGAGGCAGTGATTGATCATGCCTGGTTCATGCTGGAGAATGAAAGAGCTATTTTTTAAAAGTCTAGCCTACTGAGGTAAAATAAGTTACAGTAAAGTTACTCTTTTTGAGCAGTTTGAATTTTGTCAAATTTATAGTCCTGTGACCACTGCAGCAGTCAGTGATAGAACATTTCCACTACCTGAGTCCGAACCCAGTCCTTCTTTGCTGATTTCTGTCGTTATATTTCTCTTTTCCAGAATGTCATAAAAGTGGAATCATACTGTATATAACTTTTCATGTCTGCTTTTTTGAGATTCATTTATGCTGCCTGTAGTTGATACCTGTTTGTTGCTGAGTAGTATTCCAGTTTATTGATGTACCACTACTCTGGAAATTTGGATTGTGTTTTTTAGGTAATATGAATAAAGCTGCTATAAATGTTCACGTATGGTTCTTTTTTTGTATCTTAGATAAATACTTAAGAGACGGGGCTCTTGGACTGGATGGTTGAAGTAGTTTACCTTTCTAAGGAATTGGTGTACTTTCCCATTTTGTACTCCTACCACCAGCTGTTTGTTTTCCAGTGACTGATCATGATGAACATCTTTTCCTACGCTTGTTTGCAATCCTTATCGTCTATGTTGTCCGTTCAAACCTTTTGCCCATGTTACTTGGTGTTATTGTTTATTATTGAGTTGAAAGATTACTAAGTATTTGGATACAAGGGCTTTACTGGGGTTGGTTTTTTTTTGGTCCAAATTTTTTTATTTTGGTGCATTATATTTTAATGGTTGCTTTTTTAAAAATATATATATATATTTTTAGTTGTAGATGGACCCTGTACCTTAATTTTATTTATTTATTTTCATGTGGAGCCTCATACTTGCTAGGCGAGCTCTGTACCACTGAGCCCACAACCCCAGCCCCTAAGGGTTGCTTTTTGTGTCCTGAGAAATCTTTGCCTAACTTGAAGGTACAAAGATTTTCTGTTTTCTTCTAGAAATTTTATAGTTTCATTTATCATTTCAGTCTTAGGTCTCCTTTGAGTTAATCTTTGCATGTTGTGTAAGGCAAGGGTGGGGTTTTGTGTGTGTGTTTTTAGTGGAAGTCATCCAGTGCCGTTTGTTGAAAAGCTTATCCATTCCTCATTGAATTATGTTGGGACTTTTGTTGAAATCATTTGGCCTTATATGTGTGGTCTGTTTCTGGTCTTTATTCCACTGATCTATATGTCTGACGAGTGTTAGACCATGTTTAAAGTTCTTTGTTGGGGGCAGTAGAGGCAAAAGGTCAACCATTTATTTCTGGGACCTTCAATTATACCCAGACCTGCAGGTACTACCTTTAGGGGACAAGAAGCCAGGTTAGTAATAAAAAGTTCTCAGTAATAAGGTAAGCAGACCAGTTTCCCTGGCATGGCTGTGCATTCATCCCAGTCTTCTGTAAACTAATTTACTATGGTTCGTGATTTAAAATTGTGACCCAGAGTCACTGTAAGAGTCAATTGTCCAGAAGTAATTCTCTTTTTGGATACTGAACTTTGGATAGAAGAAATAAAGGGAAATTAAAATAAGTTCCAAAAGATTAAATTATCCAATAGAACTAGTTCATTTGTGTTCATAAGTTGAGTTTTTGTTATAGTTTGGTTTAGTATAAAAACTGTTCCTCTCCATACTCAAGTGAACTTAGCATTTGTGAATTATTTCTTAACATGGAAAATTTCCCTACACCAAGTCATTCCAGGTGAGCAGATTATAGATTTATTAATACCTCTGTCAGGCATTTATTTGACAACTATGCCAGACATTCATTTCTAAATGTGATCATTGTCTTCTGAAGCTCAGTTTTCTTCAGGGAGGCAGAACAGTAGTCTAGGGCATGGTTATAAAGAAGTCCACTGGCGAGGCGTCTCAGAGCCACCGGTGGAAGCTCCAAAAGGCACATGTGTTCCTGATGTCCCTTTGTTAACCACTCCTGGACCTGGTTGTTACAGGTTGGCTTCATCTCATGCAAGTTTTTAAATCATTTTTGCTTCCTTTGTATTCTTAGTGTGAATACATCTGGATGAAGCATACATCTGAAACTAGACTGCACACAGCGGATTGTAGGGAACAAAATTTTAAAGTAATCTCACATGGTTATTCAACTCTCTGTTCTACCAAGTCTGACTGTAGACAGGATTTGTGAAGGATTTGCCTCAGGGTTTGAAATCCTAGATTGAGGGTGTGGGGTGGGATTAAAATTCATTTAACAAATAATTGTACATTAAAAAAAATGGGGGTTTGGTCTTAAATTTGAGAATCACTGCATAGCCT